GGCCAGACAAGTCCAAGCCGAGGGAGGACGAGTGAGTCTCGGCACGGGGGCGCTGGGGGGGGCCGGGGTGGTCCCAGCTCCCACGGAGGTGTTGGGGAGGGGGTTATTCCTGGGAAGCATCGTCCCTTTGGAGGGGCAGCTCCTGGAAATGCCCTCGTCTGGGATGGGGAGCAAGTGCAGGGCAGCCCCACCTGCCTGCCCAGGCTTTCACAGGCTGTTGGGCCACCTCCTGCTTGGTGAAGCACTTCTCCATCCCTCCATCCATCCCTCCATCCCTCTCTCCATCGCTCTCTCTCTCCCACCATCCGCCCGCCCTGTGCTCCCGCAGGTGCCGAGGCAGCCTGGGCTCGCTGCAGCTGCAGGTGAGGCTGCGGGATGAGACGGTGCTGCCCTCCCACTGCTACCAGCCCCTGGTCCAGCTCCTCTGCCAGGAGGTGAAGTTGGGGCGCCAGGTGAGGGGTCCACACGAAGCCCTGCTGGGGCACCCACCTTCCCCCCGGCTCTCTGCTGGGGCGGCCATCACGTCGTGGTGCCTCTCCCCACCAGGACGGCCAAGTGCACCTGGTCACCCTCCTGGATGAGACCACCACAGCCGAGTGCCGGCAGGAGGTTGCCGTCAGCTTGGTCAAACTCTTCCTGGGCCAAGGGCTGGTCAAGGAGTTCCTGGATCTGCTCTTCGAGCTGGAGCTGGCCAAGCCCTGTAAGGCTGGAGCATGGAGCAGAGCCAGGGGCTTCCAACCATCTCCTGGGGCTGCAAAACCTCCAGGATCTTGTGGGGTGATTTTTTGGGGGTGATAGTTGAGGTTCAGCCGTCATGCGGTGCTCTGGGTGGGGACCTGTTGGGTTCATCCCTAGGAACTCATGGGCTGAGGTTGGCTGATGTTGGTGGAGAAGCAGGCGGCTCAAGGTCAGGAAATCCCAGTGAATCCCATGGAAACAGCCAGGGGTGGAGGGCAGAGCCCCTGTTAACGCCCCCTGTGATTGCAGCTGCCCAGTGGGTGACCTGGGGCTGTCCCCCAGGCCAGAGACCCTCTCCTGTTTTGCAGGCGAGCCCAGCACTTTGTTCCGGAGCAACTCTCTGGCCTCGAAGTCGATGGAGTCCTTCCTCAAGGTGCCACACTGCCCCAAACCTGCGCTTCCCAGGTCACCCTGGCTCTGGGCTGTCCCTCCTGGGGCCGGTTCCCGGGGAGAGCACTGGGAGGGCTGGTGAGACTGTGTCTTCCCCTGGTGCTGGGAGGTTGGAGAAGGTCCCTGGGTGGCCCTTATTGGGGAGTCTGGGGTGTCGGGTGCCAAACTTGTGGGCGGGCCCCCCCTCACCTTCCACTGTACGCG